AATAATTATGCAAAACCAATTTAATGGAAGTACCTAAAACCCCTTTTGGCAAGCAACCATTAATATGCAATATTAAGAAAGAGAAATATTTTTTTAAAACTTTCATTTCCATTGAAAAGAGAAATGCAAATGATACTGGAGGAAAGTGGACATTACCTACGTTTCATTAAAGATATCAATAAGAAGTCACGGATGAGCCGATTGCAAAGTATTTTCTGAGACGTTCTTGGGACCATGCATTTCTTCTCCCCAATCAGACACAGTTCTGGTCTCATGTAGGATTTTCCCAGATCCCAAATTTGCCAGGGAAACAATTTCTATTGTTTGCCAAATACCTCTGCCTGGTAATGGGATGCGCCACGCTGGTGCTTGGAGAAGGGAATCTGGTTCTTTGGCTGCTGAGGAAAAGGACGGATGCTCAGTTGAAAAGTGGACACTGTTGAGAAGAGAAAGGAGGGACCTGTCTACTGGTAGAGACTTACAGATGTCCATGACAGTGGCCCTGACTGTAAAATCTCAGGTTGAGTAAGCCGCTCTGTTTATTTGGGGTGTGATAACAACAACAAAAAATTTGCTAATGTACTTGGGTGGTGTTTTGGAGTGAAGTGAGGTTTTCTCCCGTGTCACCCTTGGGGGCAACCCACACAGACACAGTGCTGATTTCTGTGATGCTCCCAGTGTTGAGCAAGAACAGTGTGATGCTCAGGAGCATCCCAAGCCTGGACCGCCCTTCCCTCTCTTCTCACACTTTTGAGCCCCTTCCCCTTTTCAGAAGCAGTTGCAGCCCACATCTTCCTGAACTGCTCTTCCTGACCTCCCTGTCCACGTGGCTCACTGTCTCCTGAGAGCCTCCTGCCAGCTTCCTTGCATAGACATCACCATCCGGCATCATCATAGCACAGACTGTCACAGGCCGTCCCTCTGCTGTGTCGGGAGCTGGCAGGATCCTCAGGGACGATGTAGTTGAAGCCGCTTGTTTTACAAATGAGAGACAAAAGAGTCTCAGCCAGGTTCAGCCAGCAGGTGAGGATGCTCAGGTACCGAGAAGCGGATCCGAAACTGGACTTGGGATCCCCGATCCACCTCCCAAGCAAGAGTTCCTCTGCTTCATTTCCTGAGGTCCTCTTCAGAACATTCTGCTGCTTTCCACTTAGCTACACGGCATGTTTCTCAAAGCGGAAAAGAAGCCTCTGCTTCATTTCGCCTTCCAGGATGCTTGCCATGATTTCAAATACGGAGTGGGTCCCCATCAAATATTCATTGAAACTAGCTGGAGACTGTAAAAAAAAAAAAAATCCGCACTGCATTTCTCTCCAAGGAGGCAGGGGAGGACACTTATTGATTGTGTGATGTCCATCACCAATGATTTCATTTACATGTGGCCCCGGTGAGGGCGATCCTCACAGAATTCCTATGAAGATCGAATCAAATAACAGGGGGGAAAAGTCCACCTGAGGACCTGACACATATTGGCCCAACAATAAATGTTGTAATGGGGACAAAAAGAAACAATGCCACTAGAGTGTGGTCTTCTGGGATTGAGAGAGGCTGCTGTGGTTTGTATATATTTTGAGTGTGTCCTACAGAGTTTCTTGTGCAGGAGGCTTGGTCTTCAGTGTGGCCATGTGGAGGTAGTGGAACCTTCTTTTTTTTTTTTGGTATCAGAGATTGAACTCAGGGCCACTCGACCACTGAGCCACGCCCCCCCAGCCCTATTTTGCATTTTATTTAGAGACAGGGTCTCACTGAGTTGCTCAGCACGTTGCCTTTGCTGAGGCTGGCTTTGAGCTCGTGATCCTCCTGCCTCAGCCTCCTCCGAGCCACTGTGATTACAGACATGCACCACTGCACCTGGCAAGAGGTACAGGAACCTTTAACAGGCAGAGCCTAGTGGGAAGTCTTTAGGTCATCAGAGTCTTGGCCCTCAGGCAGGATTGAAGTAACTCTCCTGAGACCCGAGTTAGCTCTTCTAAGAGGCTATAAAAGAAAACCCTTCTCTGCTGACTTTTAGTCCTGAATGTGAACTCTTCTCCTGCATACTCCTACCAGGATGCCATGCACCTTGTGATATAGCCAAGGAGGCCCTAACCCAAACTGAGCAGATGTTGGTGCCATGCTTTTGAACTTCCAAGACAATGAGCTAAATAAAACCTCTTTCCTTTATAAAGGAAAGATATATTTTGTTATAGCAATGAAACATGTACAGAGATAAGTGCTACAATTTAGATAAGTGTCTCTAAAAGGCCTGCATGTTTTGTCTACAGCCAGGGGCACTAATAAGAAGAGATGAAACGTTTCAGAAGTGGGGCCTAGTTAGACATCTTCTGGCAACATGGGGACATGTCCTCAAAAGGACACTGGGCCTGATTCTATGTTTCCCTTTGCTGCTTGGCTACCATGAGGAGTGAAATTTCTAATCCCATGCTCTCCTACCATGCCATTCTGCCTCACTACAGGTCCAAAGTCAATAAGACCAAGAAATCATGGACAAAACCATTGAAACTATGGGCCAAAATAAACCTTTTCTCTTTATAAATTGATAATCTCAAGTGTTTCACTACAGTAATGGAAATGTCACTAATATGACAAGTATCCTCCCTTATTTGGTAAAATAATTTTACCAATTTTTTTTTTAAATTATATAAAATGTTTTATGCACTCATGGTAAGTTACTCTAATAAAATGAGCATATTGCCACATACATATCACCCAGTTGCTCCCAATAGTAGTATCTTACATAATCATTGTGCATGGTCAAAACAAGGAAATTGGTATCAGTATGACACAAACACCAGTCTACAGACTTGACTCAGAATCCACCATTTTTACATGTGCTCATTTTGTCTTTGTGTGTAATGGGTAAATTTTAAACCTAAGCATTTTAGTTCAGCCATTTGCAGAGCATATGGAAAAAACAAAAGTTCAGCCAGGTGTGGTGGTGCACACCCATAATCCCAGTGGTGGGGAGGTTGGGGCAGTAGGATCACAAGTTCAAAGCCAGCATCGGCAAAAATCGAGGTGATGAGCTTTCACCTAAACAGCTCGGTGAAAGCCTGTCTCTAAATAAAAAAAAAAAAATACAAAATAGGGCTGGGATGTGTCTCAGTGGTTGAATGTCCCTGAGTTCAATCCCTGCTATCCAAAAAAGAAAAGTTCAGAATTAAAGAAGCGATTTCCTTACTTGTGCCATGTTCTCGTTGGCTTCCTTCTTTTTGTCCATCGCAACTGAAGTGTCCTTAGTCCAGAAAGTGGCATCTAGCCAGAAGACAAACAAATACAGAATAATGAAACCTAACCTCCATACAACCTGGGTGCCGAGCCACAGCTTGAAAATGAGACAGCTGTTGGGTATTGCTGATGGCATCTGGCATCATTCATTTCCTTATTCCATTGGTGGCATCTGACTTTATATTTCTCTTTGAATTGTGATCAAAATGCTAATGTAGCAAAACAGAACGTACTTGGGCCTTGGAGATCAGACAAACTGTAGTGGAGTGGAATCCTGATCCCTCTACTGAATCCTAACTCTGCCATTTACCTGCGCTGCAACCAATCGCCTTTTCTTGGTTTCAGTCTACCTGTGAAATGGGCGTGCAAAGTGCATCTCCCTGGAAAGAGGCACAATATCTGGCAAGCAGTAGGTGCTCAATGATTGGGGATTGCAATTCTGTTTATCATTAACATTCTTCTGTGGCTTTTCCAGTCTACCTACCCCTACTCATAATATACTGAATGTTTCTTGTTTTTTTTTTTTTTTAATCATAGGCTACCCCACAGTTGCTAAATGCTTACTCATGTATTTCTTATTTGCTTCTCTTCATAACCTTGTGAGACTTCCAGAGATGATTCTCCTGAGGTCACACAGGTAGGAAGTGACAGGCCAGATCTAATCTCCTGTGTAATAATTTCATACACTGTGTTCCTCCGACTTCAGCCAGACATCTCCCAGGTGCCGAAGGGGTTGTCAAAATTCTTCTGAGGAAGAAAGATGAAATAGCTCTAGAAAATTTAGGGGCAAAGGAAAGAAAGCTTTCAAGTTTATAACACCACCAAACTTGGAATGTGAGTTCCTCTCCTTCACGGGGGTGGGCACCCAGGAGTGTTTGACAATAATATTGAGTTTTGGTTTGGTTTATTGGTTTCCTGTGGCAAAGGGAGAACATTTTTATCCTTTTTTTTCCCGTTCTCTGCCAAGTCACTTGTTTGGTCACCCATTAACTCAGGATATTCGAGGTAGTTCTCTTTTTTTTTGCTCCAACCCAGAGTATTATAAGTGAGAAGGTACCCAGATAATAGATCCCATTTTAGTTTCTTGTAAGAACCTATGATTCTGGGGTAATTAGTCAACAGCTCAGCAAATGGACCAACAGGAAACACACATAATTATAATTTCTCCTAGTTAGAGACTGGAAACTACGTGTGTCCCATTGGAAAGGGAATATAAAACATCTACCACAAACATCTTGCCCCAGTAGCTATTTTTTTCTACTGGGGGGAAACTTCTCTACATCTCCTGGTATAGAAACACAGGAAGACAGGGCTACTTCATCTTCATCATTGGCCACCAGGTAGCCTTGTCTCTGCTCGTGAAAGTGGGGTCTCTACACGGTTGTGTTGAAATGGAGTCTGGTGTGGAATGTGCTCTGGTGTGAGGGGAGACACTGCAGGGTACAGGCTGGGGACAAGCTGTAGTGGAGTGGAATCCTGATTCCTCTATTGTAGGACTTTCATAGTCCCGAGGCTGCTTGGGAGTCTCATTTATAAAGGGTGAGCTCTAATATATTCTTCAGAGTGTGATCGTCAGGATTCAATAAAACGATGTATGTTAAAATGATAGTCTGACATAGAGAGGTGCTCCGTAATGGTCACCCTCATCTCTTTCATTCTGCAATGTTTTTATTCATTTCCTACAGGCTAGTAGCAAAAAGTATATATATATGACTTTTATGTCTTAAAAAGCCAATGCAATCTTCCCTGATTACCTACTTAACCCATTTTAGCATCTCTCATGGCCACAGACCTCTTGGAAGAGAGGCTCAAGATCTCTTTGCCTGGAGAGCAGAGCCACCATCTTGGGAGGACGTTTGATGCTTCTGTCCGGTTCCTGTGCCATAAGCCCTTGCTGTATACCTTCACGGCATGGATGGGAGCAATGTCCCAAACTACTTTGTCAGTTGCATGGAGGATCGCCTCCCCCGTCACAAGGCTGTGGAGCTTAAACTGGTAATTATCACATGCAGATTTTCCAAAAGGTTCGTTTGTCTCCAACACTGGCTGAGTGGCTGCCATTTGGAGTGGCCTTTGAGTGAGATTTAAATTGTGGCTGATGTGGTTAAGCACCCAAACTGGAGAAAAGTTGTTAATAATGACATAGTACTCCACCATAAGGGTGGGGCACATAAGCCAGGGCTGCAGACCTCAGAATGCAAATCCCTTCTTTTCCTGGTTGAAGTTCATCACCCTTTCATACCCAGCACAGGTATCTCCCTGTCCAAGGCTCCCTCCAACCCCTTTCCTCAGTGCAAGATGGTGGAACTGCTCCAGATCCATACACGGGTAGCAACCACAGGTCTCTCTGTGCTCTGTGTCAATTCCTCATGTATGTGTGATTTCCTCATTTCCATCAGTTGGGTATTAGATTGAGGTCAAGAGTCATTATCCTTGGTGCCTTTCCCAGTACTTGTAACTAGTGGCAAGTGTTCAAAGGTGTTTAGAAAGGAAAGAAAGGAATAAGAAAATGGAAGATGGGAACGTGTGAAAGTCCTCATAATTTATCTCCTAAAAGCATGTCTTTTTCTTTATCTGTGACCTGAGACCTTAACATTACCAACACCCAGTTTTCTCTATGCCCCAGGCAGGCTGGTCCCCACATGTCCTAGAAGAAAAGCTGTATGCTTTTCTTCAGACACAGTGGATCAGGAACCTGTACCTCCCACAGTCTTCTCTAACTTCTACCTTGTACCTTGGTTAGAATTAAAATTGAGTGTGTACGGAGAAGAATAAAACAATAGTAACTCAACTCTCCCAAGCAAAAGAAATATGCCTGCTGGCTGTGTAAGGTTGTCATGGTTCCGCCTTTCTTTATGCCCACAGAGACCCAGTATCCTACCTTTCTGCTCCATCAGATCTTCAGGGTCACTTTATGATCCATGATTATTATTGGCACTGCAGCTGAGAAGGTTAAATCTCAGGCTGAGAGAAGGAAGAAAGGCAAGAGCAAAAATGTGGCGTCTTCCCCTGCTGGGTTGGTGCTCTTTCAGCACAAGCAAGACTGTATCACATTCCCAC